CCTCCTGATTATAGCTTTGTCTTCAAAAGCAGCCCAGCTGGAGTGCAATCCAACTACTTGTCATTCTGAAAGCATGATCAGCTCTGTTTCCTCCAGTGTTTCCCCTTTGAAGATTCTGCCCTTGTATCTTCACCTCAGTCTGCTTCTTTGTCAACACCTTGCTCATCTATCTTGTTCTTCAGGAAATCCTCTGTGGCTTCTATGGCACTCTGCAGAACCTTTTTTGAACTCATCACTAAGTTATAATGACTTAATTTATCCATGTTTCCCATCTAATTTGGACATGGAAAGAACCAAGAATATGTCTGTGTTCATCTTTATACCACTTCAGCTAATGAGACACCTGTTGATTGACAGTTGCATATGCATGGCAGGAACTCCATAAAGGATATGTCTTTAATTCCTCATTGAAGAATAATGGTAAAATGTCAGTACCACTAGGGGGCATAGAATTATAACAGAATTTTCCAGTATGCTAGCTCCTGGGAGAATTTTCACTTCTGTATTAACTTACTCTTCCTAGCTATATGAATCTTGAAATAATGTAATGACTCCATTCAAATTATTTCCCAGAAAAGTTGTGCAAACAGTATCTAAAAGACAGAAACTAAGACTCGCATAGTAACATGTTAGAATAGGCTAATGAACTAAGCAGGGTTTCATTAATGAAACTAAAACTAGTATTAGGACAAGGATCAAAATATAAATAGGATGTGAAAACATTAATACTGTGAAACTTACAGCTACTTTAAAATTCTCAATACAAATATCTTCATGAGGAGACTCTTTATTTTCACAGGAAGACTGTAGCTACTTCTTGTTTTTAAATATAACTTTAATTTTGGTTTTAAAACACATACTTATGAGGTTACTGTTAAAACCCAATGAAATAATTATTTCAACCAGTTTTGGAACATACTGAACCATATAGTAAACATTTATAATTATTTTGCTTTGGCAATGTTGATGGGGACAATATTTGGGAAGTTCTTAGAAAATAAAAAAGGTAGCTTTTGGAATGAAAACAGTGAGGCCTTTTGAAGCCCTATGCCTCAGCTACCTTACAAAACACCTCTTGTCAGGCACATATATTCTGTTCAAGCAAAACCATAGTACTCATGTCAAAGGAAATGAGGAGCAGAGTATCCTGGAGCCCAATACAAGTTACCATGGCCCGAGAACACAGACTTAGGTGACTGCAAATATAATGTTCCAATGTAGTAACAGCTTCATGGATACTTTTTATAGGAATGGACCAGTACAAAATAAAAGTTAAAAGTTAAGGCATTTAAAAACTACATCAGTGGAAATATCAGCTATTTCAGAGATATCAGCAGAGCAAGAGCACTTCTGCTATGGGCCTCAGATGTCAACTGATAACATTCTTAACCTTTGGGGTGGTGAAAGCTAAAAAGATTTTACCTGAGAGTCAAAAGGAAGTTATGTCAAACACAGAGGCTGTCGATAAATTACAATCAAGGAAGCTAAAGATAGCCTGGCCCGGCCCAGCCCCATAGACCTGCAACAGTCCAGATCTCCACAGCCAGAGACGTCCCAGGCACTCTCTCAGTCTTGTAGAAGGTTGAGCACAGAACTTCTTTTCACACCTCCCACATTCTTTCTGTACCTTTGAGCAGGGATGTTTTCACGTAGTCATTTCTCATTGACAATGTAATATAAGGCAGGCCTCAGATTCCAATCATTAGAACCTCCAGCAGTCTGTCCATCCTCAGATGGTCTCGGATACTGGGCTGGGTTCTCTGATACCAGCTCATTGGAGAAACATCTTAAGAAGTTTGCGCCGTCTCTCTTAGGAATAGTTATTCTGGATTGGCAAAAGGTGATACTATGGTACACCATACTGGTACTTTTGATATGGGAAAATGAGTTTTCTGAGCCAACCGTTAGAATGATAAATACCTACAAAATGCAGCGTAGCTACTGTGCTTATTGGCTTGATCAGGTATTGCCACAAAGGAAATAAAAGCTAAAGAGAAGGGTGATATCGTTTAAAGGGCATTCTGTTGAAAAGGTAGGGACTTAGCTCTGCCTGCAGGTCTATTGGTACAACTGGGCATTGTGCAAAGGCATTGAGCAACCATGGGGTTCCATTATATTCCGTTAGTGAACTTTCTTATTGCTCAAAGTTTGGCAACTTTCTTTTTTAATCATTACTACACTTATTAGTCCAGAAATTTCACATCAGACCCAAGTATATCTGTGTCCCGGTAGAGTGCTTGTGATACCACAGTAAGACATATGTGACTTTGATTGTGAGTCTATGATGCACTGGAAGGGTTAAGACAAAGGGTGAAAACCTTGCGATGAAGAGGGAGAAAAGGGGGAGTATAATGAGGCCGTTGCCCTTTGACTGAAGACACATCTCGATTTTCTTTTTTGCCTCCTTTTTTTCAGGTGCTAGAAGTCATGAGTGCATCTCCAGCCTACATGGGGCAGGTCTAATGATATTCCTGAGTACTGTTCCGAAAGAAAATATAATAGGGCAGAAAACACATTGAAATGAAATATTTTCTACTACGATATTCAACTGAAAGTTTGGGGAATTTGGTTTCCAAGGTCATAAATTTTAGCCAGGCTTCACAAAGGAATAGTTGAAAGCAAAACCTTATATATTTACTCATTTTTATTTTGGCTTTTCAAGACAGGGTTTCTCTGTGTGTGTCCTGGTACTCTCTCTGTAGACCAGGCTGGCCTGGAACTCACAAAGCTCTGCCTGCCTCTGCCTCCTGAGTGCTGAGGTTAAAGGTATGTACCAGCACCACCACCTGGTTAAAGCAAAACCATGTTACAGGTGAGAGACTGCCAACCAACTCACATGCTCAACATAAGCAATAAACACTGTTTTAAAAGTGACTCTCTGGACAGACCTTTTGGCTCTTGAGTGTAATCACAGCACTCAGGGCACAAGCAGGAGGGTGATCATAATTCGGAGGCCAGCCTAGGGTAAATATGTAACCTCAGGAGAGCACGCTGGGCTCCAGAGTGAGAGCTGTCTCACAAAAACCAATATAAAGAGTGGAAAAGTCATGTGCCTTTACCATTACCTCGTCATAATACTTTAATGTAATTGTTATTCATGAAATATACGCTATGTTTTTATGCGTGTCCTACTATACCTAACCTCAATACAGGTACTTTAGCAAAAGAAAGGAAAGGCGGTTTCCTAGCAACACCTGTATTCAAAGGAACAGCAACAATAATACAAGCTTAATTACAAACACTTTATTTCCCTCCAAGTTGACTTTTGGCTATCTAGGGAAGTTAGAGAAAGCATGGCAGAGACCAAGGCTCAGGGAGAGGTCTCAACAGATCACTTGGTCACTTCTTCCTAGAAATGGAAAGGCAGGATGATTTCTAGTTAGGGTTTGAACGTAAAACAGCCTGTTCCAGTAGTCATAGACTGTTGTAGATGCAGCTGTGCCTGGTGCTGTTCGATTCATTTACTTGGAGCTCCAGAATGAATACTGCAACTGGGAGCCAGGATGCTGGGTTCTGAGGGGCCCATCCAGTAACTCCTGGTGGATACACAGACAGGTCCCCTTCTCTGGGTTTGTGACTAAATGGATGATACCCAGAAAAGTAGCTACAAACGTCTTCAACAGTCACAACCCTTAATAATCACAGCTGTCCCTGTCACCCCCACCCCAGTTCATTGGCACTTTCGGAATAGACATCATAGCCTCCCTGGTATCATTCCTGCATCCGAGGAAAGCATCATTTAGACGTTAAGTAGCTGACTTCCTGGAGCTTTGGGGAGTTGGGGGGTGGGTTGTCTTACTCTTATGTCCTGCCTTTCAGAGATTTCCTGCCTGCATGTGGGGCCCAGGCCCCGAGTGAGATGAACCACAGTAGTAGAAGCTTGCAGCAAAGAAAACAGTATCGTTAAGGGGAAGTGGCCTTTTCATCTTCCTATTTTCAGAAAAGCTAAGGTTTTTCACGTTCAAAGCGTGCACACGAGTCATTTTAAGTCTCTGCATCTTTCACCCTGAAAGTCCCTGCACAGAAACTCCACGGGGAGTCTAAATATAGCTGCATCGAACTCTCCCCGCCTTCAGCCAGGGTCTCCTTGCAGCTCTGAGATTGGAGAGCTTATTCCAGGATGCTCTCTGCATTTGCCTTGAATAGCAGGGCGCGGAGCAATCTCTCTAGCACCTCCACGGTGTGTGGGTGTGAAGTGTATTAGGGGAAAGCAGGAGTGACTCTGGGTGTTGGTGCTTGGCTCACAGTCACGTGGTATGACTGCCAGCTGAACAGAACGAGGAGTTAGTAGTGCCTACTGCCCAGAGCCTTTAAGGGAAGCAAGGTCTTACTGACTCTAAGGGCCAAGGAGGGTCTTCCCAAAACAATAAAGATAAAAGTAAAAGTAAAACTTGTAGCTAATACTAAGACTGTAGAGAGCAGCTGTCCGTGGGTGTGGGTGTATGCACCAGGTGGGGGATGTTGGTGGAGTATTTATTATCTGCTATGTTTGAGGCAACCAAGATATGATTTTTGCCTTGGCATTGTTTCATATTAAAGGAAAAGGGCACGCGGAATAACCACCTTGCTACTGTCTACCATGGCTTTCTGTCCAAAGCATAGCTCAGTTGAACTCGGTGATTAATGTTTTTCATATTTGGGAGGAAGGCTGCTGTTTTGGAAGCAGTTCCCAAACCTGGCGTGCTCACAGTTTCCCCAACGCTGAATCTGTTGTTTAATTGCTAACAATGTTTTTTTTTTTTTTTTTTTTTTTTTTTGAAAGCCAGAGTTCCCAGCCAGCCAGCCATAGACACCTTGGCTTCACTCTCAGCCAAGAGCGCGGGCTTTGAGGCGCCCATCTGCCAGAGATTGTAGAGACCCAGTCAGTGGTTCCCCTTAACAGGTCTCTAACCTTGTAAGTTACAGCATCTTGGCTGGGAGGCAGGTCCTAGTCTCCCCACCCTCTAGGATCTCTCTCCCACTCACTGGGGACCCACCGCTGCTGCTGCTGCTGCTGCGACTTAAGCAGTTTTATGACTTTCTCCCACTTAAATGGAAATTTCTTGAAGGAGGGATGTGGGCTCATTTCCCCAGGCTTCTCTGTCAGGAGAAGCCCCAAGGCAGCTCCCTCACGGCAAAGGAGCCACTTTGGAGTTTTACGCCCTCCCCACACCCCATCCCTGGGGAAGGGAAGGATGTTCTGTGACTCTTGGGCATGCTATCTGAGGCTGGGGATGGAAAGTCACAGCCTGCAGGCTGAACTGAGTCGCGGGAAGCCGCTGGCGGTCTCCGGGTGTGTCCATTGAACTGCGGAGGATTGGTCCTCAGCGCGGGAACCCAAGCCTCGAAGCGTCGCCCTGAGGCTAGCCAGCACCTGGAGGGCAGGACCGAGCCGCTCCTGCCCACACCCTTTGCGGGAGGATGGCAGGACCAGGCGCGGTATAGCTGAGGGAGAACCCCAGAGACTCGATCGTCCAGGTTGTTCACCGGGCACCGGGCGGACTTCACTCTCCGGACAGCTCCAAGCCTCAGGAAGAAGCGACCCAAACTCTGGCCTGGGAGACAGACTTAGAATCAGGCCGGTGCTCTGCAGGGGGCGGACTAAGCTGACCTGGGCTGAGTGACCCGGGAGCGTGCTTTGGGGCATCCTGCACACCCCAGGCCCGGCCCGTGGACACTCTGGGGAGGAGGGAGTGGCCGCAGCGGGACTAAGGCAGAGCGAGGGACACCTCTCAAAGTGACGCCCCCAACAGGTCCGGATTTGGAATCGGCAGCGCCAGAGATCCGGACCTCCCGGGCCCGCCTCGCACCCCACCGCCCCCGCCCGGAGCCCGGGCACTGAGCTTGCCGGCCCCCGGGGGCGCCCCGTCGGCTGCGGGTTTTCTCCGGCAGACCTGCCCGCGCACATGAGACCGCTGCCCCCGCCGCAGGCGCCGGCGCCCCCCTCGCGGTGCCGGTGGTGATGCCATGCCCCGCCACCACGCGGGAGGAGAGGAGGGCGGTGCCGCCGGGCTCTGGGTGAGGAGCGGCGCGGCGGCGGTGGCGGGTGGGGGGCGCCCGGGCAGCGGCATGAAGGATGTGGAGTCCGGCCGCGGCAGGGTGCTGCTGAACTCGGCTGCCGCCAGGGGCGACGGCCTGCTGCTGCTCGGCACCCGCGCGGCGGCGCTCGGAGGAGGTGGCGGCGGCCTGAGGGAGAGCCGCCGGGGCAAGCAGGGGGCCCGGATGAGCCTGCTGGGGAAGCCGCTCTCCTACACCAGCAGCCAGAGCTGTCGGCGCAACGTCAAGTACCGGCGGGTGCAGAACTATCTGTACAACGTGCTGGAGAGACCCCGCGGCTGGGCGTTCGTCTACCACGCGTTCGTGTGAGTACCCGCGCCCCCACCCCAGTGCGCCCCCCGACTATGCCCTCCGATGGGGAGCCCCCCTGTGCCTGAACCCCCGGGGCACGCGTGGAGCCCGCGCCCTGGCTGGAGGCGCGGAACGCGCGCTCACACTCACACTCACACTCACACACACACACACACACACACGCACACACACGTGGTGGTTTTTATTTCTTTGCACGTGTTTGCGACAGACCCTCTGGAACCGTCTGTTTCTCTTGTCCCACGTCTCGCACTTGTTCAGATTGAACCATTGTGCCCCAGAGCACCCAAGGAACTGCCGGTCGTTTCCAGGTACCCGGGCAATTGAAGGCAGGAGCAGGATTTAGGCAACTCAGATTATCAGGAGCGATTAGGTCTTGACATGCATAAACTTAAACTGAGTGGGGCGCCCAGGAGCCGAGAAACGCTCTGGGAGGATGTGCACCAACCTGAGGCTGGAGAGTATACAGGAGGAGAATGGCGGGGTGGGATGGAGTGCAGAGGAGAAGGTGAAGGATGGGTCTAAAGTCAGCCCTGGGGTCCAGCACAGGAAGCTGCTACAAGGTGGAGAGAGAGACTAGGTTTTAAAGCGCGCCCGCCCGGAAACACGCCTGGCCACCATCACAGCTGTCACCAACGGAAAATCTGTCAGTGCTTGTAGTCCTTGCCACAGAGAGGTGGCCTGAGTCTAGGAGTGCTAGCGCGCCATACAATCTCCTCTCAGCTCAGGGGCAGCCTCAAGTGGGGAACCCTGGGTTCAGGAATACGACCCACACACAGTGCTGTGGCAGAGACTCTAAGGGCCAGTTCTGACCTGGATCAAAGAGTGGATTTAGTTGGCATTTATGGCTCTGAGACAGTGTGTGTGTGTGTGTGTGTGTGTGTGTGTGTGTGTGTGTGTGTAGTAAGCCTCACCATCTAGCAGAGAATGCTTAATGAGAAAATGATTGGAAGCAAATGTTTATTTTTCCCTTAGGCATTAAAAACCTTTCAGTGGCTTTAAAGTTTACTACTGTTTTCCCCACAACGTCCATTCATTCGATCTCCTCTCAGCAGAGTTAGGTTTATCTGGATGATTTACAGTCATTTTTTTTTTTTTTATGCCTTTATACCCTTTCTATTTCACCGTTTTTAAAGAACACTTGGTCTTCTTTTTGCCCCCACCTTGCCCCTTCCTTCCTTCTGTTAAAATGAAATATATTAACCTTAGGAGACCTTCAGAGAAAGTTGCAGCCACATACTGACTGATCCCTTGTTTATTGACACACAAAAATTCCTGCAGAAATGAAACATACTATCTTATACTTATTCCTCCCCTGGAATGAAGAATTGGCACCAACCCAGGAAACTTTAAAAAAATAATAAAAAGGGGACTGGTTTTGTAAATAGGTGAACCTGAAATACGACCAGGTAGAACTCAGGAAATTGGTAGAGTCTGCACTCTGGGGCCCTGGTGTCTGGAAATTTTTACAGTTCCAGATTGATGTGAACATGTAGGATTAGGTGGACTATTCAGGCAGCTTTATATGTTTGCAAGGCACACACAGAGAATAGAGCTTGGTAGCGTTATTGCATCCAAAAGAGTAAGTTCTATCATTTGTTAATGGAAGAGTTACATCGATTTGCATGTAATTAAAGACAGAGAAACACCACTGACACTTGTTAAGCACATCTCCTTGGGTTGATATGCAATCAATCTAGTACTTAATGAGCATAATAAATTATATTGACCTGTCAGAATATACTGAAAATTTTTAGCAATGATGAGGCTTAATTTGCAGTAAATATCCGCGGTATGGATGATATTTTTAGAACATGCTCAAAATATCCATGGCTTTGAGCTTTAAATATGATGTAATGTACTGCACTTTCTTTGGATAAAGTACATGCTGTGGATTCAGAGGGGGCTTGACACAACCTCCATTGTTGTACATATTGATATCTCCCAAGCCTTGTTTACAAACATGAATGAAAATTTCTCAAAATACAACATTTTTTTCTGACGTCTGATTGTGAAGTCAGTTATTATGGGCTTGTGGGGTTTTTACACTTTAACAAATGGTTTTCTTAAAGGGTTCCAGCTGAAGTATTTGCCTGTTAACTAGCTTTATCAGTGAATTCAGTGGTAAATAGAACATAAATTATGAGCTTGTCAACACACTCCTGCTAATGTAAAGTTCTTTCTAATGCTTCTGAGAGCCTTGAGGCTTCAGGATTGGAGCAGCACAGCTACATGGTAAGGCAAGACCCACATTAGCACAAAATCAGAATGGACAGAGTAAGCTTCTGGAGAGATGGTACACAGCGCTGCACAGCCCGGAGCAAAGAGGGGTAATCACTCCCTATGATTTTAAATGACGTTTTGAATGGCAGGAATTTACACATTAAATTAATAAAGCAAGGGTACTTTGAGCTTTAAGTCTAATAAGACCATTACAGGAAACTATAAGAAAATAATTTCTAGAGAGTTGTAACTAACTAATACCCAGCCAACCTGGGGATCCTCAAATCTTACTTTAATAACAGTTTTTGTAGCGAATTAAGCTCTGTGCCAAGAACAAGTACATTGTGATTAATGAGGCACTTCAGGGATGAATTTACTTGGTTAGCCCAATGTTTCCACTGCCAAGAAACGAGAGAAGTATGTTTAATATTATGCTTCAAGTAAAGAGAAATTTCTGTTAGAATATGTAAAATAATTATTATAATATTTTAATAGTCTAAAATGGGATATTACGAGTATATATCCAAGACTGCTGGTAAGGGTATTGGCAGGAGCACAGGTGACCTGCTTCAAATGACTTCCTCTTCTGAATTTGTGGGCCTTCGGCGATCCAGGCACTTCCTGATCCTTTGGAGTCCCCGGGCAGCAGTGTGCTCTGTTTCAGCTGTGATACAATTAACTAGATGAGCTCTTAAAATAGGAGCTGATTTCTTTGAGTTGTTTGTTCCTTTTAAATTGCCCTTCTTTGGGGAAAATTTAGGAGAATTATGGTAGTTGTAGAGGAGTTCGTGATAGGATTCCTAATGTAAATTTGTGTTAGTGTAGCAAATGTGGTCAGTCCTGAGGACTCTCGCAGGAGTGTCTGTGAGATGCATCCATACAGACATTACATTGCCCAAAGGATCTTTGCCTGATTGAGTACTGTGGATGGGAATTCACAAATATTTCAAACTAGAATATTCCACCAAAGCTAGGGAACCTGGAGTCATTTCCTCCCTCCTACTAGCTACCGTTGACCATGGTAGCTTGAATTGTTTTCTGGATCTATCTCTTTCTGTCTTTTACCGATTTCTCTGACCCTCCCTGTTTCTCCCAACCTCTCCTCTGCTACCTGGCCATCTTCTATTTCCAATCCTGTAGCTGCCACTCTGATGCAAGTATTATTAATAAAACCAAATACGATTATATCATTCATAGAATTATCCATTTATACATATGTGAGTGTCTGAGGAATTAATTAATGAGACAAAGACCTCTGATTTCAAGGAGGAAAAGCACTTGGCGGATTGCAAGCATTTCAACAAGTGTGAAATAATGCTATCAGTACTAAGTCAGAGGACATAAGCTACAAAGCTTCGTGCAGAGGGGAAGACAATGCGATTGAGAGCAGAAAGACTAGCGGTCTTCAGAGAAGAAGTCGGAAATGGGCTGAGTTTGGACAATTAAGTATCACATTTCAGGTGGGAAGAATAGGGAGAATGAGCAGTCTTGCGAGAGAGAATAGCTGTAGGGAAAGTGTGGGGTTGTGGAAGTGTAGAAACTCTAAGTACTTTAAATGTCTTGTAGGATGAAGCCATCTTCAAGAAAAGATGGAGGCCATGTGGCTTATGATGATGGATATGGAATCTTACCTTTATCCTGTATGTTAATGAATGGCAAAAATCAAGAGAATACATCTTAGTTTGGAACATGAATTGGGAGAGGAAATTTAAGATGGAGTCAATAAGGTCTGTAATTAGGAGGTAACAGTTGTAAAAGGTTTCCATTCTTTCCTAGTATTTTCATTGAATTCACCCTGAAAATGTCTCTATATGCTGGCTCTCTATATGCTGGGCTGCTGGAAAGGGGAGAGAGGATTGCATAAGGAACTAAGGGAGTTAGAAGAGAGTCAATCAGAAATGTTCCTTTTTCCTCAAAAATTCATTCTTTGAGACTTTTGTACCATGTATTTTGATCACACCCAATCCCTGTTTGCCCCTCCAACGCCTCTGACAACTCCCCTCCACTTTTCCATCCTAACTTCACATCATGTTCTGTCATAATCCACTGAGTCCAATTTATGTTGCTTGTACTCCACAGGTATAGGGCTATCCTTGGTACATGCACAACCTAGAGAGGGGTAACACCCCTAAAGAAAATGTTTCCTTCCCTACCAGCCATCAGCTGATAATCACTCTGCAGTTAAGGATGGGACCTTGAGAACCCATCCATGATCCAAGCTGGAATGTTAACTGGTTTGATTCTGTTCAGGCAGCCACACCTGATGTGAGTTTATGTCATGTCCAGAAGATGCTGTGTCATGGTGTAACAGGTCCTCCTAACCATTGGCTCTTTTAGTCTCTTTGTACCCTCTTACCTGATGTTCCAGAGCTTTGATAGGTATGAAGAGAGGTGTGATACACTGTCCCATTTAGGGCCGAGTACTCCAGTCATTGGTTTAGTTTAATATTAAAAATACAGAATTGATTGGATGTTTTCACCCAATGAGGGGGTCAATGGGTATGATTCTAATCTGCGATTTGGGAATAGAAGTGCCAGCCAGTAATTTATGTGGCAAACTGTGAAGATCCAAGTTCTCAGATCTTTAAAGAGTTCAGATTTGTTCAAGTAGAATTTCAGATGTTCTTGGTCATTTGGGCGATGATTGTGAGGCATGGGGACAGGGAGCCACCTTCAGTCTTGTATCAGGGGCTTTAGGTCAGCAAGCCCTACTCTATTTCAATCACATAGAAGTCATACAAGAAAATATTAAAACAAAACAATTCATTTAAAA